TGTGTGTGTGTGTGTGTGTGTGTGTGTGTGTGTGTGTGTGTGTGTGTAAATAAACATGCTCTCATGTGGGCTTGAAAATATGTGTGGTTCAGGCTGGGCAGTGGCAGTGCACACTCTTTAACCCTAGCACTCAGGAGGCAGAGGCAGGTGGATCTCAGTGAGTCCAATCTGATCTACAAAGCAAGTTCTGGGACAGCCAGGACTAAGAAACCCTGTCTCAAAAAAAAACAAAAGTGGGGATACATGTGGTTCACGTGCTTGTTTGGTTCACGTGCATCTGGAAGCCAAAGGACAACCTCAGGTGTTGTGAACCCTGCCACCTTATTTGTTTGAGACAGTCAGTGTCTCTCACTGGGCCTGAAACTTCTCAGCTAGGTTAGATGATGCCCTCTGGCCAGCACACACCAGGGATCTCCCAGTCTTTGCCTCCTTAATTCTGTCACCACACCTGGCCTGCTACCTGCATGTGAGGACTGGACTCAAGTCGTCATGCTTGCATAGTAAACACTTCTAACTGAACCATCTCTCTACCCCTCCTGCCAATCTTTGACCAGCCAAGTTGACAAGTTGAGCTCTCTTCAGGCCTACCTTGGCCCTGTTCAACATCCCCAGCTGGGACTAGAGGGCTCTACCTACCTCCTCCTCCAGTCTGAGATAGGGAGAAGAATTTTAAACATATCTCATATCCTCACACATAGTGCTCCTCTCCTGATCCCAGATTGCATTCCACTCCTAGGACACTATTTTCCTTTCTTTGGTTTTCTCTGCAGACGGAAGGCTCCTCAGGGGCAACAGAAAAAATGAAGAAGGGGTTATCTGACTTCTTAGGGGTGATCTCAGACACCTTTGCCCCCTCACCAGACAAAACCATTGACTGCGATGTCATCACCCTGATGGGCACACCCTCTGGCACAGCTGAGCCATACGACGGCACCAAGGTATTCACTTACAGCCTTTGCTAAAGATACAAAAGGAATATATGTTCAGTCTAAAAATATAGACAGGGAGACTGGAGAGATGGCTCAGTCAGTGGTTAAGAGCACTGGCTGTTCTTCCAGAGGCCCTGAGTTCAATTCCCAACAATCACATAATGGCTTACAACCATCTATAATGAGATGTGGTACCCTTTTCTGGCCTGGAGGCAAACATGGAGGCAGAACATTGTGTACGTAATAAATAGATAAGTCTTTAAAAATATAGACAAATTTGGCTAGGTGGTGGTAGTGTACGCCTTTAATCCCAGCCCTTGGGAGTCAGAGACAGGTGGATCTCAGTGAGTTTGAGGCCAACCTGGTCTATAGAGTGACTTCCAGTCAGGGCTGTTACACAGAGAAATCTTGTCCAAATAAATAAATGAATAAATAAATAAATGATAATTACTTGGGTTTTTTATTTGTTTGTTTGGTAGGTTTTTTTGTTTGCTTGTTCTATTTTGTCTTTTTGGGTTTTCCTAACCATGTTTCAGTGTCTTTAAATCCTTGCAAATGAGTACTGGAAAGATGGCTCAGCTATTAAGAGCACTGATTGCTCTTCTAGAGGACTGGGGTTCAGTTCCCAGCACCCATATGGCAGCTCACAACTGTCTGTAACTCTAGTTCTAGGGGACTGGACATCCATGGCAAAGTAACAACACACATAAAATAAAAATAATTTTAAAAAATCCTTGCAAATGAATATAGATAACATTATTCAGTCACTTTCTATTGTTACACATTTGGGTTCTTTTCAGCTTTCAGCCATAGTAAAGACCCTAAAAAGAACATCTTTGGGGTCTTTGTTTTATATTTCATTCTTTTAGACTAATTTTCACTGGAAATAAATCTAGCAGTCGGAACCCATGAGTAACAACTAGAGCAGTGTGTTAGTGCTTCTGTTTCCTGGACCATCTCTCTCGAATTCACAGGGTCATAGCATGGCACATGTTGCGTCTTGTCACATTGGATTGCCATTCCAAACTTGCATTGCTGGGACTGTTTACTAACATGTGCCAGAATTTTGAGATTTTCAATGATAAGAGTCTAAGTTATCACAGTGATTCATCACTAAAACGTACGGCTGAAGTTCCTATGCAGACAGCCCATGCTCTGTCTGGTCTGAGGAAGAAGGGCCTTTCTGTTTATAAGCTGAGTTGGCTTCCTGTGGCCCCAGTGGAGCATCACTTTACAGTGCATTTGGTAGAAATTTATTTTTTCTTTTCTATTTTCCTGGATCTAACTTCTTTCCCTGCTATGTTGGCTTTAAACATGCTAAGCAAGGGTTCTACCATGGAATCACATCCCAGTGCAAGATATTATTAATGGAATTGTTATCATCGTCATCATTATTTGGTTTATTAAGACAGGGTTTCTCTGTGTAGTCCTGGCTGTCCTGGGATTCAGTCTATAGAGCAGACTAGCCTCGAACTCAAGAAATCCACCTGCCTCTGTCTTTACTGGGATTAAAAGTATACATCACTATGCCTGGTTATTGTTGATAGATTTGTTTGTTTGTTTTTGATTTTAGGTTTTTCAAAACAAGGTTTCTCTGTGTAGTTCTGCCTGTCCTAAAACTTGCTCTGTAGACCAGGCTGACCTCAAACTTACAGAGATCTGCCTGCCTCTGCCTCCTGAGTGCTGGGATTAAAGGTGTGCACCACCACCACCCAGCCTTATTGGATTTTAATTCGGGGACACTTAAATTATCTCACAGTTTGCCCTTAAGTTTGGATTTTATTAACATAATTACATTTGACTTTTTAAATTTCTTATATTCCAGAAGTTATACTATAATTTTATAATCTGTTTACCATATTTTCTCAGTTCTCAGGGTAGGAATATTGGATAAGAGTATTTTTCTGAGGGTTTTAGTTTTGGGGGCTAGCTGAGTACCACTATATCATTAATAACCTGTGGGTTTGGCAACCAACAAGGGGGAAGCTGGGTTGTAGCTGATTTAATATTATGCACAGAGGGGATTTTCTCTGCATCCACCTCCCCAGAACTTCTCTTCTCTCTTCTCTCTTGCTTACAGGCTCGCCTCTACAGTCTGCAGTCAGACCCAGCAACATACTGCAATGAACCCGATGGTGAGGGGTGGCAGTGGGGGTGAGCTTATGGGGCAGGAAGAGGGAGAAGATGTAGACTGTCTCTATCCTAGATGCCACAGGTCAAGTAGCTCTACATCCTGGGAACAGAGTAGGGCTGATATTACCTTATACTCTGTGCAGGTTGTTGATCCCTTTCTTCCCTGAATCTCAGGCATTTTAACCGTAACTCCGTCTCTTGAAGAGACTTTGCTCTTACAGTCTCTTACAGTCCCTTATCCTCTCTATTCAGTTGTCTGCCGGATAGGATTACCACATCTTTGGTATCCTGTCCACTATGCCCCATGCTAGGAACTAGAGACCAGAAATGAGTTAAGCCTTCAAGCTGGCCATTCCTTCAGAACCAGGCTGCAAAGAGAGAGAAATAGGAGTCCAGGAATCAAGCAGAGGTAGTAAAGGGTAGATTGACTCTGTCTGCAGAAAGGCGGGCAGTGGGTGTCCAGAGGAATGCACTTAGCTAGCTTAGCCTGTGGAGCCTGGGAGTAATCTTTAGTAGTGGAAGCTTATTCAGGCAAGGGCAAGAGTATGTTTAAAAATCCAGAAAGAATAGGGAGCCCATTTGGTGGCACTAAATTAAAGTTCATGAGGAAGTGAAGGCAGCCAGCAAACTGCTTGGGAGAGGGCTTTTGTGTATCAGAATAAGCAGCTAGTGCTTGGTCATGAAAGACCCGTGATAGTGGTTCTAAACTTTCCTTTGGACACAGAGGCCTATAAAAATCTCCTGACAGTAGGTACAATAGCATACTCCTAAAATGCCAGCTACTTGGAAGCTGAAGCAGAAGAATTGAAAGATTGAGGCTAGGCTGATCTATAATAATGAGTTCAGAGCCAACTTGAGCAATTTAGCAAAACCTGTACCAAAGTAAAAATAAAAAGGATTTGGGATATATTTGTCTAGCATACGCAAGGCCCTAGGTTCAATCTCCAATACCAGAAAAGTTTAAAAAAGAAACCAAAACAAAAACCTGATCACAATGATGTGCCCTTTCTCTATAAAAATTTATGTGTAAGACCAGGCATATTGGTGCGTTCTTTGTTAATCCCATGATTTGGGTGGCAGAGGCAGGCATGTCTCCTGAGTTTGAGGGCATTATGGTCTACATAGCAAGTTCCAGGCCAACCAGGGCCGTGTAGTGATACATTGACTCAAAAAAAAATACATATATATGCATACATATAATATATATGTGTGTATACAGTGTTGGAATTCTTTGATTTTTGAAGATTTTCTGTGGACCCTCGCTTTAAAAGCTCACATTATAGAGGACTACTGAAGAGTTTTGAGGCCCCAAGTGATCATCTTTTGCATTTTGTAAAGTAGCCCATGAGGCTGTGTTGTCAAGGAAGAGACAAAGATGGGAGCGTGACATAGGGATGCCTAGGGGTCCCCATGTCAGAGGTAAGGCCAGAGCCTGGGGAGAGGCAGACTGGAGAGAAAAGTATGCACCAGGAGAGTCTAAAGAAGTAGAATGAGAGCACGTAGGCCAGGATGGAGCTGGGATATCTTCTGGGTTTCCAGCAGTAGCCGAGTAGGGACAGACATGAGTGCATGTCATGACGGCAGTTAGACTGGGAGCCCTGCATGGGCTCAGGGTTGCAAAGAAATAGGAATTGTCAGAAGAGGCCAGAATGATTTAGGGAAGACTCATAAGAAAAAACAAGTGGGGGGGCTGGAGAGATGGCTCAGCTCTTAAGAGCACTGGTTGCTCTTCCAGAGGTCTTGAGTTCTATTCCCAGCAACTGTATGGTGGCTCACAACCATCTGTAATGAGATCTTGTGCCCTCTTCTAGCATGTAGTCAGACATACAGGCATAACATTGTATGCATAATAAATAATTTTTTTTAAAAAAAAAAGCAAAATGAGAAAAAGGAGGAGCTCAGGACGACTTAGACTGTTCAGAGGAGGAGGAAAGGAACAGAGGTGAGGGGTGGGGGCAGAGGCTCCTGTCTACATGGCATAGGGAGGACAGAGACACAGCCATTGTCTCTGACGGTATGGGTCCACATTGAAAAATGCTGTTTCAACAGCACATACAGAGGATGAAGTGGCAGCAGAGATGGGAGACCTTGGTCCTTTCTGGAGATCTTGGAAGAACCCACCCAACCCTTCCTGACTCTTCCCCTTGGATAAAATGGCTTTGAAAATAACCCTTAAGCTTCCTTTACTCTTCAAGTCCAGGCTTAAGTGTTTTCTCTGGTCCTGGTGTTCTTTCCCTAGACACAGGAAACTGACTGTCAGCGTTTGTCCCTCTGCAGGGCCCCCAGAATTGTTTGACGCCTGGCTTTCCCACTTCTGCTTGGAGGAGAAGAAGGGGGAGATCTCTGAACTCCTTGTAGGCAGCCCTTCCATCCGAGCCCTCTACACCAAAATGGTGAGGGCCCAGCCGGCAGGACCTCAGCTGACTCTGAGCCTGAGGTGTTGGAAAGTGGTAGGGATGTATGTAGTGGGAGACCCTGTAGAGCCAGATGGGCCATGGGCTGAGCCAGGAAGAGGCTGATTTGCCAGGCTTCTGGCAGTCAGATGGTGAGAAGTGGAAAGATCAGCAAAGTCTTATGGCAGTTCTGGTCTCCTTTCCTGGCCGAACTGGGCCCAGAAGGTGGGTTTGGTTGGATTAAAGTGGAGTAGAGGGGCTTTGTCAGTTACTGTAAAGCCACTTTGTGTATCTGTGCTCTAGAGTGATTGGGAACAGGCTGCTAAGGACTTTCTACATCATTCCCCAATTCTCATCCCCATTTCCTCCCTCAGGTCCCAGCAGCTGTTTCCCATTCAGAATTCTGGCATCGGTATTTCTATAAAGTCCACCAACTTGAACAGGTATGCTGGTCTAACTTGGGAAGACCCCTGACTCAACCCTGGGGGAAGCAGACTTTTGTCAAGGCAAGAAAGAGTTGAAGACTAGTCCTTTCTGGGGGTTATGACAGGGCCTGAGAGGAGGGTGCCATAACCTCCTGGTCTTTACTCTCCCACCCTCAGGAGCAGGCCCGGAGGGATGCCCTGAAGCAGCGGGCGGACCAGAGCATCTCTGAGGAGCCTGGCTGGGAAGAAGAAGAAGGTGAGAGGCCTTTAAATGAGATGGCCCGCGGACCGGCTTGGCTGTGGTGTTCTAGAAGGCCTGAGACAAAGCAGGGATGAGTGCAGCGGCATGTGCTGAGCAGTCAGCTCTGACAGGGAGCTGCCACAGGGCTTGTGGGACCTAGAGTTTGGGTACAGAAATCATATGTGCCAGCTGGGACAGATTGCCGTGTCACACGTGAACCTGCCGTTGCATAATTATGAGAAGCACACTGAAAATCTAGATTCCCTCTCCCCGTGCCCCTTCTACATAAGACTACGGGATTATGGCTCAAGTGACAGGGGAAGGCAGATGTCTATGAGTTCAAGGCCAGCCTGGTCTACATCATGAGTTCTAGGTCAGCCAGGGCTATATAGTAAGTAAGACTCTATCTCAAAAAAGACAAGACTGTAGATCAGGATGTGTGAAATACTTACACTGTATGTTCAGCCTCCACTAAGAGCTTAGTGTGTGGGTAACCTTTAGCAGAAGTCAATTTCCCTTCTCTCGCTACCTTTCTCTCCGTAGAGGAGCTTGAAGACATTGCACCATCTCTAAAAGAGACAAAGATTCCAAAAGAGACCAAAACCTCCACAACCCCTGAAGCTGGACCTGGTCCCCAGAGCCCTTGTGAAGATACTCCAGTGGATCCCCCTGCAGAGGTGACTCCATCAGAGAGCAGTGAGAGCATCTCCCTCGTGACACAGATTGCCAACCCTGCTGCTGCACCAGAGGCACCAGTGCTGCCCAAAGACCTGTCCCAAAAGCTACTCGAGGCATCTTTGGAAGAACAGAGTCTAGCTGAGGACGAGGGTGAAACTGGACCTCCACCCCCAGTTCCCTCCAAGCCTCCAACCCCTGCAAGCCGAGCCAGTGGCCCAGAGCCCAGGCCTCCCGCCAGAGTAGAGACCCTGAGAGAGGAGGTGCCCACAGACTTACGCGTATTCGAGCTGAACTCAGATAGTGGGAAGTCTACGCCCTCCAACAATGGCAAGAAAGGTAGGTCTGGAGGCCTGAGTACAGGGGCTCTATGAGCCGGGCAAGCAGGAGCTGCCACCATGCATGTTGATGTATCTGTGTCTGTTGTCATGATCCTAGGAGCAGATACACTTCATTTGTGATAATGGGGAGATAGCTATATAGGGGGACATATATATTGTCATACTTTACTGGCTGACATTTACATGGTCTTTGAAGGATGTGTTTGGAAGTTGTTTGTATCTTTTTGTTTGATTTTGACTTTTATGTTTTATCTGCTTGTTTATCTGTGTGTACTATCTACATGCAGTGTGGGTTTTTTTGTTTGTTTGTTTTTGTTTTAATTTTGTCTCAGTGAGGGTGTTAGGTCCCCTGGAACTGGAGTTACAGACAGCTGTGAGTTGCCATGTGAGTGTTTGAGATTTAACCTGGGTCCTCTGGTAGTGCGGTCAGAGCTCTTAATTACCATGCATATGTCTTAGTTAGGGTTTTTATTACCATGAAGAGACACTATGACCACGACAACTCTTATAAAGAGAGCATTTAATTGGGGTGACTTACTTACAGTTTCAGAGTTCAGTCCATTATCATCATGGTGGGAGCATGGCAGCATGCAGGCAGATGCGATGGCTACATCTTGACAGGAAGTCAACTGAGACACTGGGCAGTATCCTAACCATAGGAAACCTCAAAGCCCACCTCAACAGTGACATACTTCTCAACAAGGCTATACCTATTCAACAAAGCCACACTTCCTAATAGTGTCACTCCCTATGAGGTCATGGGGGCCAATAACATCTAAACCACCACACAGTGTCCAGGAGAAGGCATTGGATCCCCTGGGACTGAAATTACAGGCAGTTGTGAACTACCATGTAGGTGCTGAGAATAAACCCAGGTCCTCTAAGTAGCCAGTGCTCTTAATTTCTGAGCCCCTGGCTTTGACTTTTTGAGACAGGACCTCACTATATAACTCAGTCTGGCCTTAAACTATGTAGCCTAGGCTGGCCTTTAACTCTTGGGTCCTAAGCTTCCCAAGTGATGGAGCTACAGGAAAGAGTCATCACCATGCCCAACATGGTAGGGTTCTTTTTTGTTTGGTTGGTTGGGATTTTTTTTTTTCCAAGACAGGGTTTCTCTGTGTAACTTTGGAGCCTTGCTCCATTGGTCAGTCTGGCCTCAAACTCACAGAGATCCGCCTGCCTCTGCCTCCCAAGTGCTGGGATTAAAGCTTTAGCGTGCACCACCACCACTCAGCTATGATAGGGTTCTTAAAATCAACAAAATCAAGTTTATGTGAGGCCCTGTGATAAATGCCTCATGGTTTTGAGCATTTCCCTTTCCTTGGGTCCATACTAATATCTTCATTTTACAGATGAAAAAAATGGTGTCTAGAAATGTTAAGTACCTTTTTCAAATTTTAATGACTGAGAAGTGGAGATCCTAGCTTCAGCCCCAGGTCTGTGTCTGCCTTTAGTCCATGGTCATGCCATTACCAAACTCTTGGCCCATTTCTACTCTTAAACAATTCAGCTCTGCCCCTGTTGCGAACCCCTGTGTGTGTGTCTTTTCCCTGGAAAAGTGTGGAGCCCTGGGAAAGTTAGCTTCTCCAAGCCTTGTTAGGAGCCATGGAGACAAACCTTGGGCCTAACTTCAGGGAAACTCGGGTGAGCCACCTCCACCATCAGGGCCTTAGCTGCGTCTGTGTAATGGAGTCTTAGTCTGGAGACCGCATCTCTGTGAAGGAGCAACCTTAAAGGCAGAGGCACAACTGTCAGCTTTCTGTGTCTCCCAAGATCCTGCTGCAGATTGTCGCCCCTTGACAGACGCTGCCGTAAAGCTTGCCCTCAGGTGAGGTCTGGCCTGCAGCACGATGACAGCCTCAGGAGATGGGACGTAGACTCACCAGAGCTTCACCCTGCTCCCTGACGGAGACGTCCACGTTTTCAGACCCTAACACAGTGCTCCTGCTAAACTTTGTTCAGTGAGGTCATCCATTCATCCACTGAGCTCCTGCCTGCTCTTTATGAGACATGGAGGGGGGCGGGGCAGAAGGGACAGTCTTTGTGATGGAACATGAGCCGGATGGGGCAGGTTTGATACTGGAGGCATTCAGAGAGAGGAGGACTCTGTGAACATCAGCAGTGAATCATCAAGGAGACAGAGCTGGAGAGTTGGGGCAGGTGCTGGGGCATCGCAGTCCAGCTTGAGGGGACGTGACTAAAGCCCCCCTCCCATACTTCTCCTGGGTAAGGGAGACACAATAGTGGGAAAGTTGGTTCTCTTTTGTTCTGTTTTGTTTGGAAACTGAGTCTCATTGCATACTTCTAAGTGGCCTGGAACTTACTATGTAGACCAAGTTGTCCTGCCTCTTCCTCCCAAGTTCTAGGATTAAAAGTGTGTACCACCACCACCCAGCCTGAGCAGGTTCTTAAGTAGCAGTTGTTAACTTACCATCTTAAGTTGGACTCAGGTGCAGAGCAGAGGGTCTGGGGACAAGCCCCAGCTGCGCTCATGAGCCACATAACTTAGAAAAGTTACTGCTCTTCTCTAAGCGTCTGCTTTCTCTTCCACAAATGAAAATTGTTTCAGACCGCCCTCAATCAGGAGCAACTCTGGTAGAGCCCTGCTTTGGGGAAATGGTGGTAGCCATCATAGAGTCCTTTCTATTGCTGTGATAAACACCATGACCAAAAGCAACTTGGTGTGGGAGGGTTTATTTCATTTTCTGTGTCCAGGTACCAGTCCGTCACTGAGGGAAGTGATACTTGCTTCAGGGCAGGAACTTGAGGGAGAAACCTGGCAGCAGAAGCTGATGCAGAGGCCATGGAGAAGTGCTGCTTACTGACTTGTTCAGTCTGCTTTCTTACATACCCAAGACTACCTTCCCAGGCAGTTGCCACTCACAGCAAACTGAGCCCTCCCACACCAATCGTCAATCAAAAAAATGCCCACAGAATGGCCAGTCTAAGTGAGGCAGTTTCTCCATTGAGGTTCCCTCTTCCTAGATGACCCTAACCCTAGCTGTATCAAGTTGACCAAAAACATAAAAACAAAACCCTAACCAGCATAGTGCTGATGATTGGTAATATTCTCAGAGTATTCTGTCCCAAACTGTGCTCAGCGCTCTGTCTGCCTCTCACTAGAGTCTCACAAAGCCCTTGACAAAAGCCGGGCATTGGTGGCGCACACCTTTAATCCCAGCACTCGGGAGGCAGAGGCAGGTGGATCTCTGTGAGTTCTAGGACAGCCTAGTCTACAAGAGCTAGTTCCAGGACAGGCACCAAAGCTACAGAGAAACCCCATCTCAAAAAACAAAACAAAAAAAGCCCTTGACAATCTGTGCGGTTCCCTACCTCTCTACTGGTAAAAGTTTACAAAGCTGCAAAGGTGGCTTGGCAGTTAAGAGCACCTGGAGGGTCCAAGTTCAGTTCCCATCACCCTCATCAGGCCTCTCCAAACCACCTGCATTTTCAGTTCTGAGGGGTCTGATACCCTCTTCAGACCTATGGACACCTGCACTCATGTGTACAGATAACATGTAGGTAGAAATAAAAATAATTTTAAAAATTAAAGAGAAAAGCCTGTCAGCCCCCTGAAGTCTACAGGAAGATCACATTGAAGACTGTGAAATAATCTATAGGAAGGTGAACGAGCACACAGAGAACCTGATAGGAGTGGGGTGCCAGCTTTTGAGATTATGGTCGTGACTGTTGTGCCCGCACCCCCATTGTTTTCGGGTGGGGAGTTGAGACAGGATCTTACTATGTACCCCAGACCGCCCTCATATTCCCTTTATTTTTATTTTTATTTTATTTATTTATTTATGTGTGTGTGTGTGTGTGTGTGTGTGTGTTGGTTTTTGGTTTTTTTGAGACAGAGTTTCTCTGTGTAACATTTAGGCCATCCTGGAACTCACTTTGTAGACCAGTCTGGTCTTGAACTCACAGAGATCCTCCTGCCTCTGTCTCCCAAGTGCTAGGATTAAAGGCCTGTATCACTACTTCCCAGCTTCTCCCTTCTTGTTTTAAGATTTTAGTCTTTGTTTTTGCTTATGTGTATTCAGGTGCCGTGGTACACATACATACATACATAATGAATAAGCTGTTAAAAAATAAAATAACTATGGTTTGTGGGGACAGGAATGGCTCAGCAGTTAAGAACACTGCTCTTGACTGGGTGGCGGTGGTGCAAGCCTTCAATCGCAGCACTCAGGAGGCAGGAGGATGGATCTCTGTGAGTTCAAGACCAACCTGGTCTACAAGAGCTAGTTCCAGGACAGACTCCAAAGCTACAGAGAAACCTTGTTTTGGGGGGAAAGAAAAAAAAAAAAGAACACTGCTCTTGCAGAGAACCTGAGTTCACTTCCTAGCATCCACATCTCAGGAGGATTAAACTGCCTGTAAGTCCAGCTCCAGAGATCTGCTGTCCTCTGGTCTGTGAGTAACTGTGCGCACAAGCATAAACCTCCACACAGACACATACAAATACACATGATTAAAAATAAATCTGTAGGGCCAGACATAGTAACACATGCCTTTAACTCAGGAGGCAGAGGCAGGCAGATGTCTCAGAGTTCCAGGATAGCCAAGGCTACACAGAGAGACCCTGTCTTGAAAAAAAAAAAATGTAATAGAATAACTCTTTGAAAAAAGTAGAATTATGATTCCTGATGCTCAAAGTTCCCCTCTGGCCTACACATGCGCTTGTGCACACATCCACTCGAAGAACTACAGTTCCATTCAGAATTGGGCTGCAAAGCAAGTGATCAGGAAAGTAATAATCGAAGCTGTACAGAGTTGTAATACTAATGCTCTTAATCGTCTGCTGTGCACACTTTCACACGCTTGACCTGGGGATATGATACCCCTAAAACACGTGTGAGGAGAAGCCACAAGATTTATTTATTTTATGTATATGTGTTCTATCTGCATGTACAACTTTATGCCAGACGAGGGCATCAGATCTTATTACAGATGGTTGTGAGCCACCATGTGGTTGCTGGGAATTGAACTCAGGACCTCTGGAAGTGCTCTTAACTGTTGAGCCATCTCTCCAGCCCTCTAGATAATATTTTTGAGACATGGTCTCGTCCACCTTAGCATGAAACTTGTCAGATAGCTGAGGAAAACCTTCAACTTTGACCGTCTGGTCCTTCTGCTTCTACCATGCTGGAATTATAGATGTGTGACACCATGACCAGTTTACACAGTGCTGGGGCCAACTGAGAGCCCCATGCACACTGGGCAAGCATTGAATTGACTGAGCTATAACCCCACTGTCTTAAGTCAGGCAGTGGTGCAGTGGTGGTGCACAACTTTAATCCCAGCATTTGGGAGGCACAGACAAGCATCTGTGAATTTGTGGCAAGCCTGTCTATAGAGTGAGTTCTGGTACAGACAGACAGGGCTAATCAGAGAAACCCTGTCTCAAAAAAAAAAAAGAAAAGAAAAGAAAAGAAGAAGAAAAGAAGAAGAGGAGGAGGAGGAGAAAAGGGGGTCTTTTTAAAGATTTATTTATATTTTGTGTGTACAAGTGTTTGTAAGTATGTCTGTGCACCACACGTGTGCCTAGTGCCTGCAGAGGCCAGAATTGTGCCTTGAATCCCCTGAAACTGAATCTATAGATAGCTATGAGCTATTATGTGAATGCTGGGATCTGAACCCAGATCCTCTGCAAGAGCAGCAAGTGCTCTTAGCTACTGGGCCCCTGGTTTTGGGTTTATTTTTGTTTTTTTGTTTTTGTTTTATTTTTAATTTGTGTGTGTATGTGTGCGTGTCTCTGTCCATGAATGCAGGTAGCTGCAGAGGCCAGAAGAGACTGTCAGATCCCCTAGAGCTGAAGTCTAAGCTGACTGTTTTAGTCCATGACACGAGTGCTGGGAAACTGAGTCCTCAACTAGAGCAGTAGACATTCTTAATTGCTGAGCCATCTCTGCAGCCTGAGCCTTCGTGAACTCTTGATCCTCATGCCTCTACCTCACAAGTGTGTGTCCCCACACGTACATGAGTGTACTTTGTTTTTGCGTTGTTTTCTTCAAGACAGGGTTTCTCTGTGAAACAGTCCTGGCTGTCCTGGGACTCACTCTGTAGACCAGGCTGGCCTTGAAAGAGATCTGCCTGCCTCTACCTACCAAGTCCTAGGATTAAAGGTGTGCGTACTGCCGCCTGGTGTGTACTTTATTCTTATTCATAGTGGTTTTTATTCTTAGACACATAGCTGGCCTGTTTCCAAAACCTGAGCTCTGGGCATGGGGGTTGTATTTGATGACCAGTACCACCAAAATGGAGGGGCAAACAACAGTGGACAGTTGGGTACTGACTCCTCTTCCCTCTTAACACGCACACCATATCCTAGGCTGACACGAGGCTGGGTCTGTGTGCAACAGAGCTGCTCCAAGTGGCACTTGCCTCTTCAGATTCTCTGCAGAGCAGGGAGAGGGAAGTTGGGATGAGTGTGTGGCCTATAGCTCTGGGTTAAAGGCCCTGCTTCACCATTACCTGTGGAACCTGTTTTTAATCTCCATTTATCTGAGGAAGTAGAAAAGCTAAAAAAAATTACACTGTGGGTGATAGTGCCTTCAAGTTAGTAATTACCTGAAAAAGCACACCAAAACAGAACAGACTCAGTCGTGAAGGTTTTGGTGGTGTTTGATTGATTGGTTGGTTGGTTTTTCAGGACAGGGTTTCTCATACCTTTGAAGCCCCTCCTGGAACTCCCTCTTTAGACCAGGCTGGCCTTGAACTCATAGAGATCCGCCTGCCTCTGCCTCCCTAGTGCTGGGATTAAAAGTGTGGGTCACCACCACCCAGCTCATCATGAAGTCTTAATGTTCTTAAACAGATCTTGTTACATGCTCTTGTGTGACCAGACAGGAAAGTAATTCACGTCTATGCCATGTGTCAGTCAGGACTGTTGATACCCGTCCTAGAAGGTAGAAGTGGAACTCCCAAGTGTCAGTTGATGTGTTTCCATTTCTAGAATGCTCTACCCTAGCATTTAAGCCTGAAGAGAGTTTTGGGTTCGAGAGATCAGGGAGGCTGTCATGGCCACAGCCATGCAAGGAATTGGCCAGGAATCTGTCTTTTGACCCACAGGAAGCCACACTAACTGATAAACACATGTGTGTCCCGAGGGCACAGCACACGGAGTCTTTGGATACAGGATCAGAACTTGGCTGTAGGTCTGCTCTGACTTGCAGTGGGACCACATGTAAAATTACTTAACTCTGAGATAAGACCTTTGAAAGAAATATGACCCTACTTCTCCATTTGTTAATTATCTACTACATTCAGTGTAATTGGCACTTGACACTCATACCCCTAATTCGAATGCCGTTGTTTCTCAAACAGCAAGCTTATTTCTTTGTAGAATTAACCAGGATATCTAACACAGAATCCTGGGCTACACCTGCCTGCTGAGTCAAAATGCAGGACAGGGAGAGATCTGTGTTCTCTAGTAAGCTTCTCCGGTGGCCTCGCAAAGAGGGTGATTTGCCCATGTTACACTTTTGCTATTTATTTTTAAGACTGGATCTCATGTGTCCTAGGCTAGCTTTGAACTCACTAAGTTGAGGATGAACAAGAACTGCTGATCCTCCTGTATCTCCCAAGTGCTGAGATGACAGGGTGTGCCCGTACTCCTGCTGCTGTTTGTCTTCGGTGCTGGGGACTGGACCTAGGGATTTGTCCATGCTAAGTGCTTTACCAACTGAGCTACTTTCCAGACCTTTTCCCAGCATAATGAGAATGATTTGCAGCTCAGAATAATTTGCCCAGTACTACACAGTAGGATAATGATCAGTCCAGGTCTGACATGCTCCACAGACCTTGATTACACTGCATGATGGGGACAAGGAGCCCACAAAAAGCTCTCCATGCAGAATATGCATCAGGACAGCTATTTTTGTAGGTCATTTCTTTTTTTTTTAAATATTTATTTATTTGTTATGTATACAATATTCTGTCTGTGTGTATGTCTGCAGGCCAGAAGAGGGCACCAGACCCCATTACGGATGGTTGTGAGCCACCATGTGGTTGCTGGGAATTGAACTCAGGACCTCTGGAAGAGCAGTCAGTGCTCTTAACCTCTGAGCCATCTCTCCAGCCCCTTGTAGGTCATTTCTTACTGACATATATGGTTTCAGTATTACTTAGAAGAAATATTGTCCAAGTATGTTTAAAGCAGTCATTGCACTGTATCAGATTTGCATGAAGCACCAAGTGGTAAACTTTGTCTGAGCAGGGACAGGTCTTAAATACTCTTGAGCCATAGGCCCTCTGCTGAAACTCTTGAGCGCTGCCTTTTTTTATTTTTTGTTTTTTGAGACAGGATTTCTCTGTGTAACAGCCCTGGCTATCATGGAACTAGTTCTGTTGACTAGGCAGGCCTTGAACTCAGAGATTCTTTGCCTCTGCCTCCCAAATGCTGGGATTAAAGGATTGCACCACCACTGCCCTGCCCCAAAAGAAATTTTCTTAAGACTTTTAAATTTTTTAATTTATTTTTGAGACAGGGTCTCTGTCTCAAAACACCAAAAAAAAGGATTTTGCCACTTAAAAGATTTTATGAGTGTTTGCCTGCATGTATGTCAGTGTTCCACATGCGTGTCTAGTGCCCTCAGGTCAGAAGAGGGTGTTGGATCCCTTGGAACTGGAGTTATAGAAGATTGTGAGCTACCATGTGGGTGCTGAGAATGGAATAACAAGTGCTTTTAACCACCAAGTCATCTCTCCAGCTGTGTGTGTGTGTGTGTGTGTGTGTGTGTACCTATGCGTGAACAAGCTTGGAGTGAAAACGTGTGAGTTGGTTCTCTCCTTGGGGATTGAACTCAAGTTGTTAGACTTGACAACAAGTATCCACTAAGCCACTCTGAAGGCCCTGTGTTCCATAGAAACAGTGGATTGAATTTGATATGGGTAATAGTTGTCCAGCTGCTGACTTAGATAAAAGGTCTATGAGTATTAAGTATCAACTTGATGTTCTAGACAACAGGAATTGTAGAAGGAAAAAAACACAAATATTCCTACCCTCTTGGAGCTCATGTTTAGATTTTTTATTATTGGATAATAAGCATAGTTAGCCTGAGTATATGTTAGAAAAAGTTTACATCCTTTATCCTTGGACAGTAAGTATAGTTACTTGAGTATGTTAGAAAATAAATGCAGTGGGGAAAAGAGAGTAGTGAAGGGGAAGGGTTGTGTTTTAAAATAAGGTGGTAGAGTTTGAACTCCTGATTCTCCTGCCTCTTATACAGTCCTGGGGACAGAACCTATGGTCTTGTGCATATAGGTAAATGCTGAGCTATATCACCAGCTCTAAGTGTAAGAGCGTGTGTGTTTCTAGGGATCTAACTAGACCTTGGTTGTGTTGTTATCTTACTACTGAGTTATATCCTTTACAAACTAAATTTTCTTCTACTTCCAGGATTTTCCTTAGAGTTCTACAAGTAAGATCATTGAGCCCAATGAAAGTGATTATAAAGATGTTGTATCATGCCATCCCCTTTGAAGGTTGCCACCAGACTGGATCGTGGTGGCACATGCCTGTAATCCCAGCACTCAGGAGGCAGAGACAGGTCTATAGAGCCTGGTCTATAGAACAAGTTTCAGGACAGCCAGAGCTGTTAACACAGAGAAAACTGTCTCAAGAAACAAAAAAAAAAAAAGATTGCCAGCACAGACACACAAGTGAGCGTGCCTAAGTAACCAGGCTGCTTATTACATGTGGCTTATGATTCCAGGCTCAAGCACGGACATCAGTGAGGACTGGGAAAAGGACTTTGACTTGGACATGACTGAAGAAGAAGTGCAGATGGCACTTTCCAAAGTGGATGCCTCCGGTGAGGTAAGTCGGTCTGGTCAGCCAGAGCAAGCTAGTGCAGTGACATCAGGGTAGAAGTCCTTTCCCAGAAGTTCTTGTTCCCTGGTATGACTCCCTACATCCAAGTGAACTAATGGCTGCAGGAAGGGATGCTGCTGCTCAGTCCTAGGCTGGAGGCATGAATGAGTTCTTGATCTTGGGTCTGTATCACAGCACCCAAGGAATAAGAAGAAAACAGATGCTAAGCAGGGCATGGTGACACATCCCAGTATAAACCCAGTGCCCAGAAAGACACGGAGATTGCTGCCTGGAGTATGTAGCAAATTCAGGCTGACCTGGGTCTGGATTAAAATAGAGAGATATAGATGTTAAAGCCTGCCCCTGGTCTTATGACTTATGGGACCTTAGCAGGTTCCTGGCCTTGGAGACAGAAGGCCTTTGATTGAGATCAAGTCATTTAACTTCTGTCCTCATCTAAAGTACAAGATGGAAAGTAGGTGGCTTAGAATTCTTAGCGAGGTAAACCAAGTAAACACTCTAAGTGTCATGTGATAGCATCCAGTAGACATTAGTGACAAACACCATAAAGCCCATTCCTGATATTAAGTTTAAATGGACCTTTGATTGTTTTCATTCTTTGCTGCCTTCCCAAATCAAGGGTTGGTCCAGTGTCAGCCGAAAATGATGGCACACACCTTTAATCCCACCAATCCCACCACTGAGGAGACAGAGGCAGACAGATCTGTGAGTTTGAATTCAAGGACAGCATGGTCTACGTATCGAGTTCTAGAACAATTAAACAAGAGATCTGTCTCAAAACAAAAGAAGTGGGCAGTTTAGAGAGAGACACACATAGGGTCTTAGTCTTTGTGTTTCCCTCTCCCCTCTTCTTCCTCTCTTTCCTTTTCCCCCATGGTGGGGGTTATGGATAACTCACTGTATCCCAGGTTGGCCATGAATTTGCAGCCATCCTCTTGCCTTAGCCTCCTGAGTTCTGGGATTGCAGGCGTGAACCACCAGGACCTGGTTTTTCATATTGAAAAGCTGGGGGATTGATGACCTTTTTGCAACTATGACCTCACTATTACAGTAATTCTATTTCTGCTACCCCATGTCCTCTTACGTCTTTTAGCTCTCTAGAACCTGATATGCTTGGCTGCGAATGTGACTCTGTGCTCAAGCACTCGCCAAAGCATTCAGGAAGTTCTCTGAAAGAATAAGCAAACATACAACAAAACCTACTAGGCAGTATACCTGAGCAGGCCACTCAATCCCTCTGCAGCAGGAGTCAGCTGGAAACAGGCCAAGAGCGACAAGGCAAGAGGACGAAGTTAGGGTGCAGAGCCCCTGGAGAAGACCTTGTGCAAAGAGAACATCCAACAGGAGGGGAAGGAAAGAGTCCATTGACCTGTGATAGATGGATCCAAGTCGAGACTGCCTAAAGCTTGCGTGACTCCTTTAAAGTTGACAAAAGAGATAAAAGTTTTAGCTATATTAGCATCTGCAGCACCCTGCAACCCTGGTGACACTCTCAGTTCTTGGCTTTTAGAAAACATGACCTTTGTCTGCTCAGCAGGAAGCAGGTTCTCCTTTAGGGGACTGCCTAACTTCTCAGGCAGGCCATCCCTTGCAGAGGCAGAGCTGGGTTTAGTTGTGGGAATGGGCCCTTTGCAGTGGTGGGCTTGAATAACTGTTCATACTCTCATTATCTCCTCACCTTTGCAGCTAGAAGATGTGGAGTGGGAGGACTGGGACTGAGGAGAGCCAGAGCAAGCAGCTCCCCACCCAAGACATATCCCACCTCCTTCTCTCGCTAATCTCAGCCAGCCTTGGAAGACATTGAGAATGTCCCCCCCAAAATGGCCTCTGCCATCCAGAACTTGGTGCAGATTCTGATGGCTCCCTGCTGGCCCTCTGCTCACACCTTGGAAGAACCTTTCCAAATACAAATCCAGAAGTCTGACTTGTGCCAACTTTCGGATGACTTAAAGGGAGGACCCGAACCCCACCGGAGAGCCTGCATTTCTCTACTGTTCTAGGGACTCCTGCTGGGAAACCTCCTGGGGTAGCTGTCTTCTGCACACACAGGAGCTGAAACACAGGTCTCTGAGAAGACCATAAGCTAGTGAGCTGCGCTTGGCCACACAGGGACAGTGAATAGCGTTTTGGTTCCTGTCCCAGTGAGTAAGAGGCAATCATCTCTGGGAAATTTGCCTCTCTCTGGAATCTCCCTCCCAAGTGTTCTCCACTCCTGCAAAGGTCCCGTGGGTTCAGAATCTAAGACCAAACCTTGAGTCTCCTTTAGCCCTCACCGGGATATCCTACATCTTCCCAGGGCCTTTTCCTGTCAGATGCACCCAAGTCCTTAGCCCAGCTGTGCCACTGCAGGAGTCTGCTCTTGTTCTTCTCCCCTCCCCATAGCTTAGGACAAAAGCCAGCTGTGAGCTCTGTGAAGTGCTGAGCAGAAGCAGGTACTCACAGCCATCTGCAGGCTGCTCCCCTCAGCCCTCTGTGAGGAAGGACCTCCTTCCTGAAGACTTTCAGCCTGGGGCTCGGTGAGGGCTGCACAGAGACCTGGTGCTTCACAGATAGAATTCTGGTGATTCTGTGTGCTGGTGCATCCCCTAGTGACTTAAAGGGATCTTGACGGGCACCGTGGGTAGTGGGCACCTCACTTCAAACCTTCAGAGAAGAGGGTAGGATGAAGAGAATGCTAAATCTTTTCTTTCTTTCTTTTTTTTTTCTTTTTGATGGGATGGGATTTTTCTCTTTGTAATTTTTAGTTTAATTAACCTTTTGGTTGTTTGTGCAATATTATATATTTTAAATTATGATGCATCTCCCCAGAGTATTTTGTAGCTGGGAAAAGAAAAAAAAAAAAGAAAAATTCTAACAGCTGTTAGTTTTGTAATTAAAAAGGAACAAAAAACAAAGTTTGTCCTGAACCTTTTACAGATTTGTCTTAACAGCATTAAAGTGATTGAACAGAAGCCAGAAGTGTCTGGGGATGTTTCTGTCCCCACAGCTGTAGGTGTGACTTCCTGCCTGGAGCTGGGACTATAGGTGGGGTATAGCCTGAGTCCTGAGACCTCTGGGTTGAGAAAGGGATGAGCCCAACCCACAGAGGCAGGAGGTCTCGAGGACCTTTGCTTTTATTTGGAAAACAGGTTGTAATACCTGAGCAGCTCCAGTGGGGACATTTTCCTTCTCTCTTCTCCCTGCTGCCCAAGATGGTTTTAGGGTCTAGCTTAATGAAACTTAACTAAACACCTATAAACATTTTGAGAACCATTAATAAAAGGAAAATCTAAGTAAGACCCTTAGTTCTAAGATCTTTAGAGGGAAAGATGTCCCGGTAAGGGGTTTGTGGGACCTCCTTGGGAGACAGAAGTAAGCTAAGTTTAAGTGTCAGATATAGATCACCATTTTAGAAGCAGGTGTTTGGGTTTGCTTTCTCCCCCTACTTTATTGGGGAGGACTTGCCATTGCTTTTATCAAGTGCTTGCTAGCCATGGGTGCCAACTAACTTCTTCGATTGAAGGCCGGATTATCATATCTGGTTCCAGGAGCCGCTTGAGCAGGTCCTGGCATTCGGTTGAGATGCCCAGATGAGTGGGGAAGGATACCCCCTTCTGTTGCTGCCACAGCATCTTGGGGATATCTGTGTCATCAAAAGGTAGGCTTGCACAGAGCATTACATACAGGACCACACCCATGCTCCAGACATCACCTTTCTTGCTATCATGGGGTATGCCCTGCAGCACTTCGGGAGCGGCATAGGCTGTGCTGCCACAGAAGGTCTGGCTCAGCTCCCTGCGTGACTTGGGTAGGACCTTGGCAAAGCCAAAGTCGGTCAGCTTCAGGTTAAAGCCCTGCAACAAGGCGTTCTCACACTTAAGGTCCCGGTGGGCCACGCCACAGCCATGGCAGTAGCGAATAGCCTCAACCATCTGGCGGAAGAGGGCCTTGGCCCGGCTTTCGGGAAGCGGCCCTCCGTTCAGCACACAGTCAAAGACATCCCCTCCCTCAGCCAGTTCCATCACCAGGTAGATTTTTCCATCTGCTGACTCCAGCATCTCATACACCCGGATGATGTTTTTGTGGTCCAGGGTACGGACAATCTGGAGCTCCCGGGGCAGGAATCTCTGGATAAACTCTGAGGGGGAAAGTGGAGAGGCAAAATGGACTATCAGAAAAGAAGGGCCTAATTCCTCCCTCCTGTCTCCCTTTGGCTTCTGGACACCCACCGTGTCTGTGTGTCCCTCCTTGACTCCCTGAGTAGTCTCAGATGTTCTCGCAGCAAATATCCCCTTCCATTACTTCAGAGTTAGCTCACACTTGGAACCTGCTCCCTGCAGCCTGTGAGACCACAGATAAGGGGGGCTTGGGAACTTCAAACAAAGCTACTGAATCCCAGGGCTCTTTCCAGGAGCCCTGTTTTCCTGTCCCTTTTCCACCTCTCCTCACCAGTTCCTGTCATCTAGCCAGTACCTCCTGGGATAGGAGAAACTGAGGCCCCTTTGCCATGTATTTTGTGAATATGGATAGTGCAGCGGTCCCGGATCTTCACATCCGTCTGTTACAGACCTGAGGGCAGTAATCTGGCTTGTTTTGTCAGTCACCAAAAGGGAAGAACTATTTCTGACTGAGCAAAGCACCTACCCACATCGGCTAGCCCACCCTCCAAAGGGCCCCTGCTCACCTTCTGGCCCTCCCATCTTGTCTATAATTTTAATTGCCACTTTTCTTTGATGTTTTTTGGAAAATGCTTCTTTGACTTTTGAGTAGGTCCCTTCCCCAATGGTTTTGCCCAGCTGGTACCCATTGGAGAGAAGAAAGTCCTCCATGCTGTGTAGCGCCTCCTTTTGTCACCCTCTCAGCTCATGCTGCCTCCGCGAGGCAGCGCTACTCCACCATCGCCCTTTGCCTGCTTCTTTTCCCCCCAAGGACTTCATCCACAGCCGCCTCCAGGGCTAGAACATTCTCCGTCTGGACACAGCCACAGGTGGTGGGGAGGGAGAGGACCAGACATTTTTAAACTCCTGCCCAATTGTGATGTAAATGCTGTGTGACCCTCAGACAACATGGGCAGTGTCCCTATTTGCCCTCACCACCATCAGCAAACCCAGCCTGAGTTAAGTCATTCATGAGTTGAGTATGGCACCGAATGGTAACAGTGCCGGAGAAGGGACCCCGGTGGCTGTTGTAGGCCAGGGAAGCCAGGCTCTGCGTCCAGGCAAGTCTCCCTCATCTCCGAAGTCTCCATCGAGCTGTTGGGAGATAGTGCAAACCAGTCACCAAACTGCAGTCGCCAGAGCCCTTTGGCTTCAGGCCCCGGACCCTCACTAAATGCCCAAATGGTCAAGGGTGGCCTAGAATTTCAGCGAGGAATAGGCTGTGTGAGGTCAGAACGCAGAGCCCGGGGTCACAATGCAGCCCTCCCCTTCGACGCTAGGGCCCCTGCGCGCAGCAGACACCTGCCAGGCTCCGCCTGGACCGGAGCGTCCTCCCGCCGCCAGGGCTCGGGCAGTTGCTTCCAGCCTGGGACCGGCCTCGGCCTCCGGCAGGTAAGCCACAACCCACGAGCGGCACGGGCAGGGAGCGTCCAGGGCTCCGGAGCTGCCTGACCGTCACTCCCCGCGCAGAGTGCCCCGGGCCCTGGACATGAGTGCCCAGGAGACCCCACAGGGTCGAAGATTCCCCATTGAGGCCGGAGACTCCCCTGGCCTTGCCTCCGCCCCCGAGTCCCAGGACAGCCCGGAGCCAGTAGCTACGGATCATAACCCTGTCAGGTGAGGCCGATGTCCTATCCCTCGGCCCCGCTCCATCTCCATCCCCGGGGCCCTACCCTAGAGGACCCCAAGCGCGCCCCAACACTATGCGCCCCCTGTCGCCTGCCGCTTTCGCCAGGCCGCTCCGACGCTGCCCGGGCTGCCACTGTCTGACGCTGCTGCACGTGCCCATCGACGTCTACCTGGCCATGGGCGGGAGCCCCCGGGCCCGTGCCACCTGAGTGCGCCTGTACACGGCAGCTCCGCAGGAGCCGGGCAGGACGAGGCCAGACGCGGGCCACCACGCTGAGGTCGTACGCGCCGAGCACGAGACAATGATGCACATTTTAAAATAAAAGAATGATGCACATTTTAATAAAGCACAGCATAAACTGTTCTTTCCACTCCGGGCTGGCCGTGTATGTGTATCCGTCGGATCGAGCTGCTCTGCTTTCCACTCCGGGCTGGCCGTGTATGTGTATCCATCGGATCGGATCGAGCTGCTCTGCCCTAGCCAGCATCACCCGACTAGCCATCCCATGGGGGTGGTCCTCCCTCGAACCAACCCTCGACCCACCTCCACTTCCCAGCTGACCTCCCTCTAAGTTAGTGGTTCTCACCCTGTGATTGGCGACCAGTCAGGGCTCGAATGACCCTTTCACAAGGGATCGCTTAAGACTGTAGGAAAACATACATATTTGCATTACAATTCATAACAGTAGCAAAATTGCAGTTAAGAGGTAGCAACGAAAATAACTATGGTTGGGGGTCACCACAACTTGAGGAACTGTGTTAGGAAGGAACTGTATTAACTGCATCAAGAAGGTTGAGGACCACTGTTCTAGGTAGCGGCTTGTCACCCTCTTGCGAGGAATTCTTGTAACTACCCTTTTCCCTTTACCCGCAGAGTTCTCCAGTTGTCCCCCCTTCCCTGTCCTGGGTTCCCCAAAGAAATCTTCATTCTCTGCAGGACACTGGCTGCTCATACCTGCTTAAGACTGAGCAAGGGAGGGAAAGATGAGCAGACAATGTAGAAGAAAAGCAAAGGCTGACCACAGCAAGCCCATGTAGTTCTTCCAAGCTAGCCTTAGATTCAGCTCCCTGCTGTGCCTGGGCCTGCTGTAGGGGTCAAGGGTTGGCCCCTCCTGCTTGAGCCTTTGGTTTCAGTTAAGACTAGTGGGGCTGCTGACTGAAGAGAAAATTATTGGGGAAATGTGTCTTAATTTTTCTAGATGTTTATTTTGCTTTATGTGTAAGAATGTTTTGCCTGTTTGCTTGTGTGCGCATCACATGTATGCCTGCTGAATTCCCGGAGCTAAGAAGGTTAAGGATGTTTTTGAGCCACTGTGGAGATGCTGGAAATTGGGTCCTTTGCAGAGCAACAGTTGCTTTAACCACTAAGTCACCTCTCCGATCACCACCCACCCACCCACCCACCCCACCTTCCAAGTTTTTGTTTCTGTTTTTTTCTTTTCTGTCATGGCCTAGAACTCACTTTGTTGATGAGGCTGATAAACTTTTTTTTTTTTTTTCGGTTTTTCGAGACAGGGTTTCTCTGTAGCTTTGGAGCCGGTCCTGGAGCTAACTCTTGTAGACCAGGCTGGCCTCAAACTCACAGAGATCCACCGCCTGCCTTTGCCTCCTGAGTGCTGGGATTAAAGGCGTGCTTCACCACCGCCCAGCCTAAGGCTGATGAATTTAAGAGATGCACCTTCCTCTGCTCCCTGACTGCTGGGATTAAACGTGCACACCACCATTCCTGGGCCCTCCAATTTCTTTCATTTTTTTTATTCTTTATTTTTAATTTTTTATGTGCATTGGTGTTTTGACATGGGTGTTGGGTCCTCTGAAACTGAAATTAAAGACAGTTGAGAGCTGCCATGTAGGCGCCGGGAACTGAACCCTAGTCCTCTGGAAGAGCAGTTGGTGTTCTTAACCACTGAGCCATCTCTCCACCCCACCCCCAAATTCTTTAATTATCTGTTTTCTAGATGAGGAATTAAGGTTTTCTGGATAATGGGTTGTGCTGGGCATAACAACTAACTAGTCTGTGTCCTCAGATTAGCTGTGAGTAACAACTAGTCTGTGTCCTTGAAACCTACCTCCTCCATAACGGGAACCATGACAGGAAGGTGCCCAAGAAGGGAGCCCATTTAAGTGGAACATGTTCCAATTTTGCTATCGTTATTCTACAGAAATAATGGTGGTGATGGTGGTGGTAGTTATTTGGGGTTTAGGTTGGTTGGTTTGTTTTTAACAGAAACTTACTTTGTAGTCCAGGCTGGCCTTGAACTTTGATCCCTAACTCAAACTCCCAGGTAAACCACAGGTGTGTGCTACTACAGCAGGCCTTATGATTGGTTGGAGTATTTCTTTTCTCTCTTTAAATATGAAGAGATGGAACCCAAAGGTCTAGTTCGATCAGCAACCCTTTGAGATCTGGAGTAAATTACTAAAATACCCTTCCCCTGGCCCACCATGGTCATCTGAAAAAGGCAATTTACTTTTTGGTTGCTTTGTTTGTTATTAAAAAATGGAAACAAAAGCTGGGTGGTGGTAGCACACGCCTTTAATCCCAGCACCTGAGAGGCAGAGGCAAGTGGATCTCTGTGAGTTCAAAGCCAGCCTGGTCTACAAGAGCTAGTTCCAGGACAGGCCCCAAAGCTACAGAGAAACCCTGTCTCGAAAAACCAAATAAAATGAAAACAAAAGCAAACAAACACAGCATCTAATATAGCCCAATCTAACCTCGAATTCACTAGGTAGCCAAGGCTAGCCATAGGTCTGTGCCACAGGCTTGTGCCATCACCAGTTTTGTTTGGCATGGCATTGGGGATCCAGCCCATGCTTTGCACCTGTCAAGTAAGCATTCCACCAACTTCAGTTTCAGTCTCTCTCTCTTTCTCTCTCTCTCTCTCTCTCTCTCTCTTTTTAACTTTTTTTTTCAAGACAGGGTTTCACTGTGTAACAGTCCTGGGTGTCCTGGAACTCACTCTGTAGCCCAGGCTGGCCTCGAACTCACAGAGCTCTGCCTGTTTATTTGTTTGTTTGTTTTTCTTTAAAGACTGATTTATTTTTAGTTTATACGCGTGTATGTTTTGCCAACATGCCAGTCTGCTCACCATGGGCATGCACTGTCCCCAGAGACCAGAAGAGGGCGTCAGATCCCCTGGAACTGCAGTTACAGGCATTTGGGAGCCACTGTGTGGATGCCGAAGATCAAACCCAGGACTTCTGGGACAGCAGCCAGGCTTAGCTGCTGAGTCATCTTTCCATCCCCTTTTTAATTTGTAAGGCAGCTTTTCTGTGCAGCGCAGGCTAGCGGGCACTCGGCAACCTCCTACCACCTTCTCAGGACTGAGATCACAGCACTACCACACCCAGCTAAAGTACCCTTGTGTTGATTTCCTCACAAGCTCGCCCAGGTGGTCCTTAAATGTTAGGCTTTGTGGACTCATCCAGCCCTGAAATGCCAGATCCTTCCACTCTCCCTTTTTCTTCTCATCTCTGGTACTTCCTTCCCTGCCCCACCCTCTCTCAACCTTCATTTTATTTAAAAATACCATAAAAATACTAAATATATAAAAATACTAAAAACAAGCAAACAAAACCCCTAAAATCCTGTAGCATAGACATTTCCTGTACCTCCCATATGGTTGATTTGTAAGGGAGCCTGACTTCAGGCACTGACCTTGCCGGACAGATAGCGACTGCGCTAACTTGCTCTGTGAGCCAGAGAAAGGGACATTCCAGGTGAAACACTGTGGGCAAAAGTTTTAAGGCAGAAAGGTGGAAAGTGATTTCTGGAATGAAGTTTTCACCTCTTCAAGCCCAGACTGTGCTCATGCTGAGAGTCCGGGTCTACTGCAGAAACTCTCGGGACCGCTCGACAGAAGAAAAGGTACACAAGGAAGCCTTGAGGCCCAAGCTGAGGAGTTTGAGCTTTGTTCTGCAGGCAACAGACTAAGCTGGGTTCCATCCTCCTGTTTCTCTCTGTCTTCCGTTCTTCTCCGTCCTCCTCCTATCTAGAAAAACCTCTGGCTTCAACTCCAATCCTGAATTCAAGTCCAGTCTCT